CTGCAGGGCAGGCACATAGGGAATGTTTCGCTCACCACAGGGCAGACACATGGACAGAGTACCCCTCACTGCAGGACAGGCACATAGAGAGAGTATCGCTCACTGCAGAGCAGGCACATAGGGAGAATTTCGTTCATTGCAGGGCAGGCACATAGAAAGAGTATACCTCACTGCAGGCCACGCACACAGAAAGAGTATCTCTCACTGCAGAGCAGGCACATAGAGAGAAAACACCCTCATTGCAAAGCAGATGCACAGAGAGAGTATCTTTCACTGCAGGGCAGGCACATAGGGAATGTTTCGCTCACCACAGGGCAGACACATGGACAGAGTACCCCTCACTGCAGGACAGGCACACAGAAAGAGTATCCCTCACTGCAGGGCAGGCACATAGGGAGTGTTTCGCTCATTGCAGGGCAGGCACATAGAAAGAGTATACCTCACTGCAGGCCACGCACACAGAAAGAGTATCTCTCACTGCAGAGCAGGCACATAGAGAGAAAACACCCTCATTGCAAAGCAGATGCACAGAGAGAGTATCTTTCACTGCAGGGCAGGCACATAGGGAATGTTTCGCTCACCACAGGGCAGACACATGGACAGAGTACCCCTCACTGCAGGACAGGCACACAGAAAGAGTATCCCTCACTGCAGGGCAGGCACATAGGGAGTGTTTCGCTCATTGCAGGGCAGGCACATAGAAAGAGTATACCTCACTGCAGGCCACGCACACAGAAAGAGTATACCTCACTGCAGGCCACGCACATAGAAAGAGTATCCCTCACTGCAGGCGCATTGCAGGGCAGGCACATAGAGAGATTATCTTTCACTGCAGGGCAGGGACACAGAGAAAGTATCCTTCACTGCATGGCAGGCACATAGACAGAATATCCTTGACTCCAGGGCAGACACATGGACAGAGTATCCCCCAATGCAAGGCAGACACATGGAGAGAGTATCCCTCACTGCATGGAAGTTACAGGAAGAGAGTATCCCTCACTGCAGAATAGTCACAAGGAGAGAGTATCTCTTACTGCTTAGAAGTCACAGGGAAAGAGTATTCTTCACTGCAGGGGAGTCACATTGACATGCTGGAACTGACACTTAACTACCTTAACTGGGCTGTTACAAATACACTGCAGCGACTGATGCAGTGCCATCACACTGAGTCAGGGACTACACTAAACCAAACACTGCCTCGTCCCAACCGCCACACTACCAGCCCCGTCCTGTCATAATGACCAGTGACCCACCCTACTGCACATGTTCTTCTGCTGCCAAATTACATTTAAATTTCACAAAATGAAAATGTTCGAAGGTTGGCAGGCAGTGGAGTGACATGACAGCTTCCTACACACTCACTCTTGGCACTTCCTTGCGGTCAGGAGGGGAGGAATGAGGATCAGCGGTATGTGTTAGAGTTGGGGGATGTAAGCTCCAGGACAACCTTTTCTACGCCATTCAACAGCACCATGAAATAACCCTAGAAGAGAGCAGAATAATGATTTTGAGCTGCCTGTAGTGCTGTCCTTAAAGTTTGCACCAACTCTGATGCCTCTGCAATGTGTTTTTGTGGATGAAATGAGATAGCCCTGCTCTGCAGTGGGTCGAGAGCCCCTAACAGGGGGGCAGGGGGACCCCCCTCAATCAGGAGACTTAATGCTCCTCCCCCGACTACCTGCAACATAGAGAAAACTGTGCTGTTGCCAGAGGTAAGAGCTCAGATCCACTAGCCCATACAGTCATGCCCTCGCTGCTCCTGTTCCCCTCCCCGCTGCTAGGAACACCCGGCACGTTCCAAACAAGTGACCTCACGGTTGCCAGGGTGATGGGGATTCCTGGCACACGGAGGGCCGCGATTGGTCGATGCGGGACGAAAAACTCTTAATTGGGTCAGAGCAGTCAAAGGTCTCCGGGGAGAAAAGCATGGAAGAGCACGTACACGCATCTCTGTGTGTCAGGGATCGAGAGAGAAGCTGGAAAGCAGAAAGGGAAATCTAGATCACGACACCCCAGGTACACAGCAAAAGAGAAGAGGAAGTTTAAAGGGGGGGGGGGTCCACAAGGCCAGATGCTGGGTGTTCAGTTCATCACTCACTTGCTTTCAGCAACATGATGCATCATGATGCAATCATGCATTACTCAACCATCTGCTAGCACCACTCTTATGCAAGTATCTGTCTGCAGCTTGTTGCGTTACACCCATGAGTATGAATTTTAGCGTGAAATGATCTCGGCTTTCAAGCCTTACTGAGACAACATTGATATGGAAGTGTGTGTACAAGCACTCGCCAGTCCCCAGACTGCGGGATGCGTCGTGTTCCAGAATGATCCCCCACGAGCGCTTGTCTCTGGTTTCCACAGTGCCAGTCCTCCACCTGGCCGGAAATTTTGCCTAGAGGGTAAAGACCCTCCCTCTGGTCTGGTATGCCAGGGCACAGCAGGACAGAACCTGCTCCACTCTTACACACTAAAGCAGATAACAAAGAGGAATGAATGGGGAGCCATTCTCCCATAATCTATATATGTTTGCAGATACACACATGTACAGAGTTTTGTGTCAAGGGCACTTTCCTGTCCTTCTGCACCTTTTCTTCTGCATTTCCAGCAAATTACTTTCAAACAGAAACTAAAGCTGAACGACTGAACTGAGAAGTGCCCCCTCTAGTGGTCAAACTGGGAATAGTCCCACACTCAGAGGCTGATTACACTGTTTTAATCTTGCAAAGTTTGGCACGCCACAGACATGCACATGGAGATTCTCATTCACACAGTGCCACACAGCACGGTCAGATAGGTCAAAAGGCAGACCATTGTTCACAGGTCCAGTTAACAGCAGTGTGAAGTCTGAATAAGATTTTGAGCATTAAGTAAGCTTTTCACTCACACACACGAATGCACATGCACACACACACACACACACACTCTCTGTATTCATATCTTTGTGGGGACCATCCATTCATTTCTATGGGGAAAACTCTAATCCCATCATGAGGCCCTACCCAGCCCTAACCTTAACCATAAGTAATCTAACAAAATAAAAGTCTTTTGGCATTTTTAGTTTTTTGATTGCAGTCGCAGATTTTCATACAATTAAGTTTTCCCTTCTGGGGACCGAAAAATGGTCCCTACAACAGCAAAATAACAGTTTTTATCACATTGTGGAGATATTAGGTTCCCATAATGTAATATATACATGATATACACACTCACACACACACTCGTGTAAATCAGGGGAGAGAAGATATGGCGTGTTGTGCACTCCTGGGGGTATTGATATTTCCACACAGTGTGTCGGGCTGGACCGGAGTTACTTCCATTGCACCTTACATACACACTCTCAGAAAGCTTGGCCACACCTCTGACATGGCCAATCACAGAATTGGGGGGTGGAGCTTCAAAAAGACATGTGGAGTGCCCCGCCCGTGAGGTACAAACAGCTCATTGGCAAATGCGCACACACCCACATTACAGAAGTCATATGCTAGCCTAGACCCTGCGGACTAAGGACCACATAACACAACGGGGAAGTCAT